TGGCTCATTTCTGTAGTTTTAGCAGAGATGAGTTTTCACTGTGTTGACCAGGCTGGTCTCGAACTCCTGACCTCAACTCTCTGCCTACCTCAATCTCCCAAAGTGCTGGGATTACAGGCATGAGCCACCGCTCTCATCCTACCTCTTTCTTACTTCTTGGTACTGTATTTGCATTCCTTGCTGTCTTCATTGTCTGGAACACTCAATTCTCTTCATTTTCCTTCAGTGCTATTATCTAGGAGCCACAAAAGATGCAGCCACGAAGATCCTAAGTGAAGTCACGCGCCCAATGAGTGTGCATATGCCTGCAATGAAGATTTGTGAGAAGCTGAAGAAGTTGGACAGCCAGATCTGTGAGCTGAAATATGGTATAACACAGCCCAGTGTTTTCCCCAACATGTCCAATGGATTGCCAGACCTCTAAACTTGGGACCATGTTTTCTAAAAGTTCAGTGTTAGAAGGAAAGGAATTCATCACTCACCAATAACTTGCTGGGCTGATGAATGGTGCCTATGACCATTTGAGTTTCTTTGAGGGAGGACAAATAAATAGTACAGGCATAATCGGCATTAGGTTGGCCGGGCGCGGTGGCACATACTTATAATCCCAGCACTTTGGGAGGCAGAAGCGGGTGGATCATGAGGTCAGGAGATCGAGACCATCCTGGCCAACATGGTGAAACTCTGTCTCTACTGAAAATACAAAAATTAGCTGGGCATGGTGGCACGTGCCTGTAATCCCAGCTACTCGGGAGGTTGAGGCAGGAGAATCACTTGAACCAGGGAGTCGGAGGTTGCAGTGAGCCAAGAATGAACCTCTGCACTCCAGCCTGGATGGCAGAGCAAGACTCCATCTCAAAAAAAATAAATAAAATAAAATAAAATAAAATAAAATCAGCATGAGGTTAAAATCACCACTGGAATCACAGAGTTTAAACTCCCAACACACCAAGGCAATGCCAGATATGTATGTCAAGGAAAATTGCAACATATAAAGAAAGCAGCTACGCCTGCCCTGCCAGGAGATGTCCTATTTTAAAACGTTATCCTTGGCCCCAGACATTTCACATGGATAGATCTATTCTTTTATCATGGGTTTGTATCTGGGCTAGACATTTGGGTAGATTGAGTGAGTATCCTAAAAGGATGGGAAATTCCTTCCTCAGCCTATCCTTAACACCTGAAATCCCACTCATTTCTTTTGCTTAAGTCATCGTTTTACATAAGATACCCCGTGTAGTACCGTCAACTGCCTAAGTAATTAGCATCCACATCTAAGTTAGTTTAGTCTTGTTTTCTGACATAGCTGTGTAATAGTCCCAGCACCAAGCCACATAGCTAGCTTTAAATAGCTTTAGGTTGGAAGTTACCAAAGACAACCTGTTTCTCAACTTGCAAAGCATAAGCCCTACCTTCTAGGCAAGTTATTAGAGTAGGCGTCCGTGTTTTATTGGCTTCCAAGCCATGAAATAGTGGCAGAAATCACTTAGTCCACATAAACAATATTCACAAACCTGGCCAGGTGCGGCGGCTCATGCTTGTAACCTCAGCACTTTGAGAGGCTGAGGCAGGCAGGTTGCTTAAGCCCAGGAGTTCAAGACCAGCCTGGGCAACATGCCGAAACCCCATCTCTACAAAAATACATAAATCAGCCAGGTGTGGTGTTGAGCGCCTATAGTCCTAACTACTCAGGAGGCTGAGGTGGGAGGATCACCAGAGCCTGGGAGGTCAAGGCTGTTGTGAGCCATGAATTTTTTCACTGCACTCCCGCCTGGGTGACAGAGTGAAACACTGTCTGAAAAATAAACAGATAAAATTAAAACTAAAATAAATAAAATAAAGCCAATATCACACACCTGTGATGATTTTTTAGTTCAGCAATTTTATTGTGAATAACTTTTCCTGTATGCAAGAGATCTTAAAGGGCTCCTTAAACTATAGAAAAATGAATCGGATATTACTGAGAAGAAACGACTACCTAATGGCCACTAGAGGCCCTTGGGGAGCTATGAATCAGTTTTGTTTTGTTTTGTGAAGGAATTTCACTCTTGTTGAACAGGCTGGAGTGCAATGGTGTGATCATAGCTCACCATAACCTCCACCCCTAGGGTTCAAGCGATTCTCCTGCCTCAGCCTCCTGAGTAGCTGGGATTACAGGCATGCACCACCATGCCTGGCTAATTTTTGTATTTTTAGTAGAGATAGGGTTTCTCCGTGTTGGTCAGGCTGGTCTCGAATTCCCAACCTCAGGTGATCCGCCCACCTCAGCCTCCCATAGTGCTGGGATTACAGGCAGGAGCCACCGTGCCTGGCCGAACTAGTTTTAATCCTTGCATGGACTTTCACTTTGGAGTTTTAGGGCATTTAGAGCTTTTCATTTTTTTAAAATTATTTTTCTAGAGGACACCAGAAAAAACTTATAGAAACTACTGACATTGACATAACAAATATTTTTCTCCTTCAGCCTCTTGCTTGGATAGACTAATAGTTCTAAATTATCCCCCCCACCATTGTTAGCAGGAAAGATAAGATTAAACAGGGACCTTTGTGCTGTGGAAAATGCATAATTTGGGCTGTAAAAGTTTCTACTTTAAAAAACTATTCAGTCAAATCAGCCATGAAATTAGCAAGCAAGATAACTGTAGATTTGGAATATGTTTTCAATGAGGAAGGTGTCATTTGGTTTTTGACCTGAAAGGTGTCATTTGGTTTTGCTTGCTTTGTGTTTAAAAAGGATAGGAAATCCCTATAAAAATTTAAGCGTTCTCTGGAGCACAGAGTATAGCTGACCCTCCAAATAAAAAAGGCTTTTAACATCCAAGTTTTAAATTAGAACAGAGTTACTGGAAAGTTTTCACAAATCATTTGACAAATAGTCGGTTTTTAATGTTTTTAAATGCTGTGTACTACTCTGCAGAGGTGAAAAAGAGAAAGAACTTTTAAGAGAAGTCAAGCTGAAAAAATTCTACCCTGCCATTAGTTTTTCATAAATAAACTTAAATGTTTTATTCATGGACAAGGTGAACACTGGACAAGCAGGGAGGAGTGAAAGACAGTTTTTTTTTTTTTTTTTTTTTTTGACAAAGTCTTGCTCTGTTGCCCAGGCTGGAGTGCAGTGGCATGATCACTGCTTACTGCAACCTCAACTTTCTGCGTTCAATAGATTCTCCTACCTCAGCCTCTTGAGTTGCTGGTATTACAGATGTGTGGCACCATGCCCGTCTAGACTTTTCTTTGGAAAGAAAAGTATGCCTTTCTAATAGGAAAATTATAATTATTGGTATATTACAGATGAGCTTAATTTTCTTTCTATTTTGGGCTTTTTTTTTTCTATTTTTTTCAGCAATTGAGAAGCAGCTGAGTTCCTGATATTTTCTGCACATAATCTATAAACACAGAAATAGTAGTCTTGCTAGAGCAGGTTAGATGTTGGTGATAAGTATCATTGGCAAGAATTTTAGGAGCCAGGTTGGCTGGCACCAAAGCACTAACATTGGAGAAGGGGGAATAACACAAAGGGCTATACATGCTACGATAATTTAGCAACCTAATCCCAGTAGGGGCCAGGCATCAGGTGAGTTTCAAAACAGAGATCCCAAACAATTAAGGTTCAGCAAGAATATTCCTAATCTTATTCACATGTTTGCATTTGTTTATGTTTTTGCATAAAGCTCCATAGTGCTTTGTTGTGTGCATGCCCATTTGCTTTGCCAAAGATACAACTTCCTAGAAAAAGTGAACCATAGCTTTTTGCTGGTTAATTACAATCTATGGCTTTCAAGTTGGCCACAAACCAAGGCCATCCCAGAGGAACTGAAGGCCTTTTGTGGCTTTCCTTCTTGTTACCTTAACAGCAGCAATTTGGATACAGTGCTATTTGTTTTAGGAATACTGATCTTGAGAATGCTCCAAACTGCGGGTAAACATTGCGGAACTACATAGGCCCTTAGTTTTGAAGCAAGGGCTTCAAAACTTGGAAAGAAAGTTAAATTAAAAACACAAATTATCCCCGATAGCTTTGTCTACACTGTTGTCCTTCATTACCTGTGCAGGATGGGTTCTGAGACCCTACTTGGACACTGAAATTCTGATGCTTAAGTATTTGCACATCTTCCCTCCCGTATACTGTAAATCTTCTCTAGATTACTTATAATAACACAATGAAAGTGGTATTTGTATTAGTCTGTTCTCATATTGCTATAAAGAACTACCTAAAACTGGGTAATTTATAAATAAAAGAGTTTTAATTGGCTCACAGCTCCGCAGGCTGTACAGGAAGCATGGCTGGAGAGCCTCAGGAAACTTACAATCATGGCAAAAGGCAAAGAGGGAGAGCCATGTCTTACATGACCACAGCAGGAGGAAGAGCATGTAAACAACCAGATCCCGTGAGAACTTACTATCACGAGAACAGCTAGGGGAAGTTAAGTCTCGTGATCCAGTCACCTCCCACCAGGCCCCTCCTTCAACAGTGGGGATTACAATTACATGTGAGATTTGGGAGGGAACACAAATCCAAACCATATCATTCATTGTAAATAGTTGTTATACTGTTTTTTTGTTTTTTGTTTTTTGGCAGCGTCTCCATCTGTCTCTTAGGCTAGAGTGTAATGGTGTGATCTCAGCTCACTGCAACCACCATCTCCCGGGTTCCAGCAATTCTCCCACCTCAGCCTCCCAAAGTGCCGGGATTACAGGCGTGAGCCACCGTGCCCAGCCCTGTTTGTATTTTTTAATTGTTGTATTGTTATCTTTAATTTGTTTAGAATATTTTTGATCTACCGTGGGTTGAATCTGCCGATGCAGACCCCACTGATAGAGAGGGACGCTGTACCCAATTTTCCTTGGGTGTGCCTTGGTTTCTGTGGAAATTGGAATTGTTCTCAGCCTTGGATCATAGGGTAGTCAGCACCAGGATAAGCAAACTATATGCCTTTCGAAGTGATTCATAGGGATTTTGTTTTTGTTTTTGTTTTGTAATTGGCCTTTTCCTTTTTGTCATTTAGAAAAAAAAGTGGACTTGGCATCAGTTGACCTGAGGAAGATGAGAGTGGCAGAACTGAAACAGATCCTGCAGAGCTGGGGGGAGGAGTGCAGGGCCTGTGCGGAAAAAACCGACTACGTCAACCTGATCCAAGAGCTTGCCCCCAAGTATGCAGCAACACGCCCCAGAGCAGAGCTCTGATTTCCAACACCAGCACAGTTGTAACTTGTAATTAGAGAGAAAAATGACTCTCTAGGATATGGACATGTTGATTAAGGGTAACAGAGGAATGTATATTTGGCCTCATGATTTTTGTGTTGGTATTAGTCCTCAGAATTTTGTTGAATTTTGTTATGTGGGTTTATGAGTAAAACTAATACTACTAATAACTTACATTTGCAATGTACCAAAACCTGGTACATTGCAATAAAACAAAATTTTATTGTATGTATTTTATTGTATTGTATGTATGTATGAGAAAATTCCTTTCTCATACATTTCTTGGAAGGACTATGTCAGTTTTCATTGCTTGTCTCCTAAAACTGGGAAAAGTGAACTACTGGCAAATTGATGAAGTAAATGGATTCCAAGAAAGAAGAAGGCATTCAGAGACTCCTCTCTGGATGCAGTTTTAAAGTATATTGGACTACAATAAAAGACAAACAGTTAGCTTATCTAATGCCCAACTTCAATCCCAAATAATAACTTTTACATAATCAAAAGTTTTTTTAAAGTACATTTTCTGTTTTCACTCTGCATTGTAGCTCTCTTTGGTATCTGAAGTTAATGTTTCCCTTTGGAAGAAAACCTACTTAAACCTACCTGAAGAAAATAGATCAAGAACCTATATAAGTATAGCCAATGTTTGGCAATTGAATCAACATTTACATTGTTTTTTTTTTTTTTTTTTT